TGTGATGGTATTTGCACCGAATATTCATTTACTTTACAAATTGGCCACTTGTGATGTTAAAATCCGTTGAGAAACATAATGATCTGGGAGGGTTATGATTTCACCCAACTAGTGGATACCACACTTCATCCTATGCAGAGCTATTGCGATCACCTAAGGGGGAGTGCAAATAAATAAGGAGATAAGTTTTGATGGGCGTAGAAATTGTTAGTTCTAGAGTGACAGACTAGATTCTTATTAATTTGGCTTAACGTTTAGTACCCTGATGCTAGAATTCAACCATCATGGTGGCATAAGCTTAGGGGCATCTAGAGGTGAGATGTTAGATAGTTTTGATGCAGAATCGAGCTGTTAATGAATCGATCTTGAGTTAGCCACCGTTCTTTGCTAGCACCGGGAGAGAGTAAGGAATAAGGTATGCTTATATTTGTCACAAAACATCAATTTTTTCTTAAATCATTTGAATCCTACACATATTAAAATCTCTTTGCATGGGGAAGGGTTTTTCATAATCTCCAAACTCGTTGTTATATTTTATTAAGCTGTTACATTTAGTTGTTACTTTCTTTAGTAGTAATTTTTAATAAGCATGTCATTTTAGACCTCTTATTTGTTTAATTTACAACTTAAATAGAATATTTTAAGAGTTACCGCATTCATCATGGGATTGATACTGGGTTTTTAAGAAAAATCATTTATTAATTGAAACGATACATATACTTTTATAATACCCCTAGTGTGAAAATCTTTCATAAATCATTACGTTTCTTCACACTAGTCGCTAAATATAATTTGAGACATTTTTTGGCAAAATTTCAAAGATTAAAAATACACGTAATTGCGGGTCAAGTCACCAAGTACCACTGTTTGTGAGTCTCTATCCTTGCATGCCAATTAAGCTACATCGAAGAACATCTTCTAACGTCGGCTATCGAGGCCTTCTAAACTCATAATTTGTTCATCCAGAAACTTGTCGTTGAGTGGAGAGCCGGCCAATAGCGGGTGAGCCGCGACGAAGTCCACTAAGATCTGCCCTTTAACAGCGCGAAGGGGTACGAAAAGTATATCAAATTGCAATAAAATCATTGGCCACCTATCTAACCTACCGGAAATCGTCTGTCGAGTCATCAAATATTGCAATGGGTTAACTTTCGAAATAAACTTGACATTGTGAGAAAGCATCTAATATCTAAGCTTTTGTGTAGTGAAAATTAGAGCCAAACTTTGTTTCTCAATAGGAGGGTGCTTTACTTCCATAGAATTTGACATTGACTCAAGTAGTAGAAAGTTTTTTCCTTACCCTCATCATTTCCCTGAGCTAACAGGGCTCCGAGAGAGTCTTCTAAAGTCGCTGTATCGAGTATCAAAGGTATTCCCATGATAGGGGCTGCTAAGATAGGTGGTGTCATTGGTTATCTTTTAATATCTTTGAAGGCCCGTTGGAATGCATCACCCCAATAGAATTTGGTGTCCTTCCTGAGTAATGTCGAAAAAAGCTGACACCTTTCTGACAGATTGGAGATAAAGCGCCTTAGATAAGTCAACTTCCCTTGAAAAGATCGTTATTGTTTCAAGGCTCTGGGAGGTAGCATTTTTAAGATTCTCCAGATCAATTTTAATTCCTTGATGGAGAACAATGAATCCTAAAAATTTCTCAGAAGTGACATCGAAGACACACTTTAAAGGGTTCATTTTAAGTCTGAATTATCGCAACCTTTCGAAAATAATTCTCAAATCATACAAATGGTTATCTTTTTGTTTGCTCTTCATGACTAAGTCATCCATGTAGAATTCTATTTCTTTGTGTATGAGGTCATCGAAGATCTTCGTCATTGTGCGCTGGTATGTTGCTTTGATGTTCTTCAACCCAAAAGGCATTACTGTGTAACAATATATTTCGATCGATGTGTTGAAAGCTTTAAATGTTGCCTCTTTTGGTGCCATCTTTATCTGATCGTATCTCGACGATCCATTCATAAAAAAGAAGATTACATGTGATGATGCAATATCCACCATCAATTCTTAGATCGACAATGAGAACTCATCTTTTGGACACACTTTGTTCAAATCTCTGAAGTTCACGTATATTTGAATCTGACCGTTCTTCTTCTTCACTGGAACTATGTTAGCTAACCATGTCGAGTATTGCTCTTCCCATACAAAGTTAGTTTCTACTAATTTTTTGACCTCTGCTGTAACTTGTTGCTCGATTTTGAGTTGTATACTCCTTGGAGCTTGTGTAAATAGAGTCACACTACGGTCTATTCCAAGCTTGTGAATTGCGATTTCAAGCGTCAAACTGGGCATCCTGCTATAATTCCAAGCGAAGCAATCTTTGTGCTCTTTTAATAACTCAATCATTTATGTGGCTTCTTTTTCATTCATTAAAGAACTAATGAGGGCCGGTCTAGGATCCTCTTTTCCCAAGTTGATCTCTTTTAGTTCGTCAATCGTTAATTTGATTTCCTCTTCAAATTCAGGCGGTGCATTTTGTGTTGTCGTATCTTCAGCGTCGTTTGTAGTTTTGAGAAAATCTTCACTTGATTCATTAGTAACAACCAAGCAAAATTTTGTGTCGTCAAATGGCCCTACTGTGCCGAACCCTACACATTGTTTCAAATTAAAAGCTCCATTCTTGTTATTCCATACAGCTTCAAAAAGGTGTAACTTATCTTTCGGTAATCGTGCTGGCCCAAAAGCCTACTAAACAAATTTCTTAACACAAGGGGAATACCAATCAACAGGAAATTCCATTAATTCAGTAGAATGCTCTTCTTTTAGATTTACATCAGTTGCGGGGCTAGAGGAAGAACCAAGATGGAATCTTATTGGTTTCAGACCCTCACTTCGTACTTCCTTGACCACCAAACCCTCAACCTTTTGAGGTTATATCGAGGTTAAGATCATGGCCTGTACATAGTGGTTAATCCTATCTTACATTAATTTGTACTTTTCTTCATCTTCATTCTCTATGGTTTTCTCGAGCTGAGGCTTCCTTTAGCTTATCGTCATTGCATTCCTGTCATTATCTTCTTCCTCGGAACTGCATTCCAAGTCAATGCTAATAGTTGGATTCTTCCGTCCAACGATCTCTTTTCCTCTTCCTCGCCCTCATCCCCAGCCTTGAATTCAGATGTGAGAATCAAAAAAGTTTCCACCATTTTTTTGGGAAGAAACGGATGGAGATCGTTGGGCAGACACATGATGGTTTTGCTTTCGTCCTTCCTTCGATCATTCATCCTTTCCTGGTACAACATCTCTGAAACAAACCATTTTCTTTACGTGAGCATAGTAAGCGGCGTTTTTGTGAATGCATGCCGTGTGTATTGAAAACAGTTGTAAATCATCCTTTATGTAACATTTGTCGCCATCCTCACAATACTTTATACATTGGTGTAAGGACGAAGGAACCATCTTGTTTTCATTTCAAACTCATTGTATGATCATATTTTAGTATAAATTTATTGTAAGATAATACACTTTTTAGATTAGTTTACATATAAATTGTTTATTTTCTGCTAAAAAATCAAATTGTTTATTTTCTGCTAAATCACAACCAATTTTGTTATGTCCTAAGTTAATTGGTGCGCGAGTTTGGTGCGGGTTGTGACATATAATATGAATGTTATAATACCTCTTAACTAATATGATTTAAGCATTTTGATAAATAACATAGCATACCAAATAAATCAATTCCAAAAAAGACAATGAGTCAAAAAGAATACAATTTAACCATTTTCAAGTCATATTTAAAGCATGAACATGCATTTTTTTTATTTTTTTATTTATGATCAAACAATTTTTAAATTTCCTTTGAACCACAATTGAATAAAGATTGAGCTATCATCAAATGAATCTTGAACCATGAATAAAAAAATTTCAAATTATCTTTAAACCAAGATTGAACAATCATTAAATGGTGATTAAATAAGAATTAAACAATAAACAACTCAAAATTAATACATCTTCAAATAATGATAAAACAAATTTTGAAAAAAAATATTAAACCATATCAAATAATGATCAAATAAAATTTGAATGATACAATTATGATTGAACAAACATTAATTAAAGATTGATTATCCCCAAAGCATTATTGAATAATGATCGAACAATCCTTAAATAATGATCATACGACCTTTAAAACATCTTCAAATAATATTTTAATTACGATCAAATCGTATTCGAATAAGAATAAAAAAAGATTGAACCATCTTTGAGGAATCTTTGTAAAAGGGTCAAAGCATCTTCGAATGTTGATCAATTTAGATGTATTAATATTGCTTATCTTTATGAAAATGTGACCTGTATGTAAAATGCCTAACTTTTCTAGAAACATCAGAATACTGTTTCTAACAGTGGTTATTGACTGAATGATTTTCTACCCAGAGAGCCCAAATTACAAATCTTACATTTCCAGAAGTATTTGTCAAATCGATTTACAACTTCCTCTGGCATTGTTGCCAATATTCTATGGGTCTGTACTGACTTTTTACTACCAGAAACATTAAATTAGAGATATTTATAATATAAATGCATTAGTTTTTACCTTGAGCAGTCTAAACATCTTATATCTGAGTACATATATTCATTCATTCATGTGGACAAAACACAGACCGTTCAGCCCATGAGAGTGCTGAGAAAATTTACCTTGTCATTTCCCAGTTTTTAATCAAAATTAGCTGAATCAGTGGCAGACGCATATTTTTTCCAGAGAATCACAAATGAATAAAAAATCAATAAAAAACAATAACTATAGACAACATCCAATAAACTCAACGCGAAACCAAATGCATCCAATGGCTATTATACATTTGTCCAAAATAGAGTTCATTGCAAATGGAAAATACCAAATTTTACATAATTCAATTGGGATGTACGCCCGCAGAAAGCACAATAGTGTTTCAGGAAGACATCAAATATGCAATATCCTGAATTCAAAACTTCATGGTTGACAATCTAAGCTCTCAAGCATATCATCTTGCCATTCTTCTCCTTTCACAAGTAGGACATGAAATTAAATCCGCCACTTTTTCTCAAGCAAGCAATGGTTCTTCTAGAACTGCAATTTATTCATAAGAACTGGTTAGAAACCGGGAAATAATACTAATAATAATAATAAACGTTTTTTTTTTTCCTTTTAATTAGCAAAGAAACCTTTTGTTCTGCTGGGTGTTTTATTTGAGATATTTTCTGGAGTAGCTTCATTCAGTTCGGTAGTAACTGGTTTGATTGGTACATCCGGAAGCTTGAGGTCTTCTTCATAGCTGCTTTCGGCAATCTCACTAACCTGAGGTTGTCTAGCTTCCGCTAAACTCTCTGAAACCTTAGCTTCTACTGATTCTGGAACTTGTGGCAAACTTTCAAGAGTAATCTGCCAAGAGTAAGAGAACTTGCATTGGTTAGCCAAAGAGATAGAATTTATCATGTATTCTACAAAAATTACAACTGTGATCAAATATGAATGAATCAAAAGATAAAACATACAGCATATGGCCATGAACTTCTTTAGTATCTATCACAAGCAAAGTTAAAAACTGCGCCTTCGCTTAGTGAAATATTCAAGTAGAAACTTACAATTATAGAATTCAAAAGCACTATAATAGCCATAATTGGACAATTCATTCTAAACACCATGAATTAGAAGACGTTTTTGTCAGGGAAGAATTACTTTGACTGCACTTTGAAATCAAAGGCATGCAATTATCTCGTATGGCATACATGCATGAAATATGATCATCTTCACAGTTTTAGTAGATTAGGATTCTGGTGCAGTAAAAGAAATAAATAAGTATAGATAGTTTTTATAATATTATAGTACATAAATTATTGTAGAGAACTATGATGCTTTTTTTATTTTTTTTATTTAATTATTATTTTTTTATAAAAAAGATATTTCTGGCTTATATTAAGATTATTGAATGAATAAAGAAATTAAAGATTCCATGCATATTATCTCCCCACTCTAGTATCGGACGGACTCCAATTTCTCCATTTCTCTGTCTATCACTAACATTGCTTCCAAGCTCATCATCACTAAGAGCAATTGCTTCATACTGCATGAGCGCAAAAAGATCCCTTCTCATCTGATAATTGATATTGATCGTACAAGATCGACCATCTCCTTTATAATAAGAGCTAAAACTACTCAAATCCCTGTTCTAATCTGTTAATTTGATATCAAAATACAGCACTCATCTCTGTTGTTTCTATAATTCAACGAATCTCTCATAACCAAATTTCCAGAATGAAATTTCACGTAATATTAGCCTTAGGCCCCATTAAATTTTCATTAATTAAATAGTCATCATTTTATTAAAAAATGAAATTTCAAACACAAGTTGTCATAGTTCTTATTCTCATCAAAATCATGAATCATATAATAAGTCCCATGAAATGAATCCTACTGCAACCATGATTGCCTTTCTAGTCATCATCAATACCAAAGACAACATAGATTGGCTTCCACAAATACTAACAATAATTTGTGTTCTTTATTAATATTCATATAATGATCAGTGTCTCAAATAAAATTTGAATGTCATGGGTATAAATATTACAATGGTTCTACAAATTAATCCTTACAGCGCAACACTACTACTTTTAAAAATATCCCAAGCCAATTTTGCATTCCAAATGGAAGTTCGAAAAACATAATGAACAACTGAAATGAAATTTCAAATTTATGTAACCAAACAATCCAATTAAACTCACCTCACTTGTTGACTTTATATTTCGACTGGTTTAACCATCAAATTTCCATCATACATAGTAACAGTATATGAAGATGTCTAAATTCTCCACGATCTATTGAAATGGTTATAGATGATATTCTCAAAACCCTTAAATAACTGTTTTCTTTGTCACTATTACCAATTCAGTTCCCAATACCACGAGACTATTGGATTTTTTATATGATTAAATAAGCACGTCTGATACAATGTGGGCTCTAAAATCTCCAAATTCTAAGTCCTATGTCCGCACTGCACAAATTCAAGATTCAAGAGATGTTCATCGCACAATTCCTCCACCTCCACCATAAAAACCAAACTTCAAGGAGAAAAATTAATGCAAAACCCTTCTACTGAACAGATCTATCACGTATCCGGGGAATTAAAGCAACAAAAAAAAACAAACCTTCATTAATTTGAGGAATATTCTAGTTTTTAAATTATTTTAGGATTATTCATTTTTTTTTTATTGACTATCAAGAGTTTCTTTATAGGCATTAAATCAGTAAGAGTCAACTGGACTAGATTAGATTTTAATACAATTTCAATGGATCATAAGTGGTAACCCTATTTCTATAAATAGAATATTTATGGCTATATTTTGAATATTGGATTTCTATAAATAGAATAGTTATGGTTATATGTTGAATATTGAATAATCGAAGAACTTGAAGATTCTTCCTCTATTCTATCTCCTCTTGCTTCCCCGGGGAATCCAATTTTTGGCCCTCTCCATCCATTGCACCTAGTTCATATCAAGTTAACTCCACTTCAAAGATGATTTCAACTCGAGAAGATGAATGAATGAGAAGACTCAATAGAGCTTAAACAATGGTGGAGATTCAAGGAGGATAATTATGGTTGTTGCATAATGGGACACAGATTACATAAGACATAATGTGCCACATGGAAGCAATAAATACAAATCGATTAAATAAGAATACAGTATTAGGCCGAAATGAAATATAAAAAATATAGCATATTGTTGATTAAAGCAAATTAAAATGCATAAATGGCAATGCTCTCAGCTTCTTACTAAACAAATAGCCAATCCGGCCTCAAAGATATTCATGTCACCTTATCCAACATTATGAATTGAATCGGAGAAAAAATCGGCGAACAAATTGCAACAAATATATGGACAAACCTAAATTAGGGCAATAAAATATTTTATTTCGAAAACATCAAGCAACACAACTCAAATACATAAATATAAACACCTACAATTCGAGAGGCAAGCAATCTCTCTCAACTCCTAACCCTAACACCTACAATTTGAGAGGCACGCGATCTCTCCCAAATCCTAACCCTAAGACTCGAGAACAGTCTCATTATAATTCTAACACTAAACATATTAGTCATATTTACTCCCCATAATCATAAATAATAAATTACTAAATTTTCCTTTTAGACTTGCCCCAAAATTAAGTCTTCAATGTATATGACGGGCTCAACGGGTCTAACATTACCACCCTCCCAAAAAGACACATCTTACTATTAAAAATTGTTTCGGTCGTATGGCTCCCATGTGTTATTATCATTTGACAATCCTTTCCATTAAATCAAAACTTTGTAGTGACTCATATATTTGAAATGTCGTCTTGTGCACATCCTTCAACCACAGCCAAATTTGAGTGTCCTAACTACTACTTCTAGTTAATCTTGGAGAATACTGCAACCCCAAACAACTCATCCCAAACAGCTCATCGATCACTAAAATCTCTGTCAACTCTATATCATGTGTCTCTTCCATGCTATGCAACTCAAACAAGAATCTCAACCATGTGTCCTGAATTGTCCTCATCATGGTCTTGAGCATCACCAAAGTCTTGCATAAACTGAGGTCATTATGAAGCAATCAACCTTGTACTCTGCAGTGACAAAATCAGTCTCTTACAAACTCCTCTGATCTTCTCCACCAATCTTGTTTTCATATTACTCCTGAATCGTCTTCTACCCGAAAGACAACAGTAACACAAGCCACTGGCGCAATTGGATGCAGTCCTCCGCCAGGATCCCACTTACAATGGTTCCTTGTTCTACATCAAAATCCTTTGAATCAATCTTCTTCAGGCCCAAATCACATGCAGTCCCATTCTGCCTGCAGTGGCTCGTTCCAAACCTCCAGATAGTGTAACTCCTAGATGTTGTTGTTCAAATCTTCTCTCGACTACTTGGCTTGATCTCACTCGCTACCATTTTTTCTCACCATTTGGATGTTGGGTTATTCCATCCAAGTGTTGTCGCTTGAGTCTGCTCCTGATTCCTTCGCTCGATTCCATGACTCTAGATATGCCTATGGCAACAATGCCACCCTAATGTCGCACAGATCCTTCAGATTGCTGCCACTGGCATCTCCTCCAGACATCATCGCTTGATCTTGTGGCTGTGAGCAACAAGTTTGTGTAAAACTCCATGATCTTCTTCATCATTTCATCCAAGGCGGTGAATCTCCCCTCCATAGACGAGAACCGCCCCTCCATAGAGAAGAAACGCTCAACCATTCCAAGTTTAATTTTGTTCATCTCTTCCTCTAATTTGTACTCAAAAGCATCCATTTTTTTATGTCATTACTACCAGGGAAGTTTTCGATCATGAATTACAAACTACTATATGTTGCAATCCTGTCGTTTGCTTCCTACCAAAGCTCAAATCGCAACTATATCACGAGGTTCAATCAGTGGTACATACTGCAGATCGAGAGAAAATCAGATGGATTTACCAGCCTTAAACATCGCAATCGCTTCGTCGACCTCCCCGCTACCCAGGATCGTGATTGTTTCAGAAAGCTTGTCACAAAAACAGTGCATGTATGTTGAAATTCGTTCTTTGGTTTTCTCGACAGCCCAAACTGCAAATGTATCGGAACACGAATGTCATAATCCCATCGTTAGCTTCCTAGATCACAAGATTCAATCACTAAGGCGTGCCCGATCCCATCGTCGGTTTCTCTGATCTAATATGTGTATATGATTCGGTCATCAATTTCTCAACTACCGCAATCCCACCTTCGACTGACATGACTGCATCGCAATCTCACAATACCGTCGTTTGTTTCCCAAAGATCAATTTCTCTAAAGCCAATTGGACACAAATCGGAGCTAAAATCGACAAAAAAAGTGGCAGAAATGTGGGAAAACCCAAATTAGGGCAACCAAATATTTTATTTCAATATCACCAAGAACAAAAGTCAAATACATAAAGATAAGCACCTACAATTGGAGAGGTAGGCAATATCTCCCAAACACTAATCCTAACACCTACAATCGAGAGAAAGGTAATCTTTCTCAACCCCTAACCTGAAACTCAAAGACAATAATCTTATCACAACCCTAACCCTAAATTAGCCTTATTTATACCCCACAAAAATAAATAATAAATTACTAAATTACCCTTTTAGCATTGCTCCTAAAATAAGTCTTCAAATTATATGATGAGCTCAGCTTGTCTAACACAATAGTTCATGTAATATTAAGTTTACCAACATTAGTAAGGAGTATCTATTACATTACATAGAGAGAGCAAAGCAGGAAATTTTCAGGCTATAATTTGAGGAAGAGGTTCAACATGGCAATGCTTTGTAGTTTAAAATTCTGCGAGGAAAAAGCTGTTAAACTTAACAAACTCAGTAGCGAATAGTCAATTAGACATACCTCAGTTTCCAGTGTTTCAAATTCAGCCAGAACGTTTTCCTCGTCTTCAGCAGAAAGACGCTCCCCTAAAATTGCATTTATTTCCTTCAATGAGCAAGAAAGAGGCCCAGAAAAACTCTCAAGTTAGAATATATGTGTGGTTAGAAACGCATTCCATCAGTAAAGAAAAATTCAAGCCTACCATAATTGTTATCAAGTTTCAATCAGTTCATCTTGACGATATTTGGCGTTAAGAGTATATTGAGCCACAAAACAGGTGCAAAAGATGAGGATAAAAACAAAACGCCAAAAATATCATACCGTGACAAACTTAATTACATTTTTACCATTTTCAATTAAAATTTTTGATTGGTCATTTTATTCATAATGTTTCCTGTTTCAATCACTTTCTATGGAATTTATCATTAGCTGCTTAGAAACAAAAGATATGGAGAATATAAAGCAGAATAAAGACAAGCAAATAAAGAAAGTTATTTGTCAACATATTACTTTGCAATCATGGAGATCAAAAGCATAATCAATTTAAGAACTTCAAATAAAATGATTGAAATGGTTTCGAGTATTTTATAAGATTTAAAGATCTTCTAGTTAAATATTATTTGTCAATATATTTCTTTGTTATCACAAGATGCTTTACTGACGATTGTAGGCAAGAAATTAACAAAAATCATGCTACATTGTCCAAAAATATATATGATGTTCACTACAAGGTTTTAAATATTCATAAATATTATAATTATTCTCTTGTTAGGACTACTACATCAATAGCTAACATTTCTAAAGATACATCATTACCATTTCAAAAGCCCACTAAACACACCAAAAAAAAAAAACAACCATGTATGGTCAAATTTGATCCTGCTGA